GAATATATTTTCACCCTTTTTAAAAACTACTTGATATTTATATTTAGGCACCTTGATACTGTGAATGTTGAATGAAATAATTTTACGCAAAGAGATTATTTTTCAATAAAATATATAGTAAAACTAAGAGTGTCATGGGAACACAAATGGAAACCATTATTTCCATTATGGAAAGAGTGACTTTATTGCCTGCATATTTGAGCAGTGCATTCTATATACCCTTTGGAAAAGGAGAGGTATTAGTTCTTGGCAAGCGCCACATCTTATTCTGTTTTATATCTGAAATGTCTACTTTATATAATCAAGGGGAGTAGTATGTCTCAAACTTTTGTGAAGAATGAATTATTTAAACTACTAGCAAAAATTTTCAGTTCCCAATATACAGGCAATTAAAGATGTCGTTCTCTCAGTCTTTCTTTTTTCCCAGGTGGAACAGGTGACAGACAATACATGATTCTATTTTGACAATGCTTGGCCAAAAATTTGGGAAATAAATAAATAATGAAATATATTAAGTTAAAGGCATTGTTGAGCTATCGTGAAGTAGATAAAAGTCTATGGATATGAAACTGAATGATTTAATTTGAACTATGTTTAAGATTGGTTTACTCTTCCAAAAAATGGGGATACTATTTTCTACCTAACTCTTGATGTCGTGTTTTGAGAATTCAGTAAAATAACTCATAGGAAAGTAAGAGCTGTGCCTGCAGCATGGTAGACACTCAGAGTATTGGTTCTCTCCCAGATGGTAAGTTACAGAAATCAAGTCTGGTTTCTGAATCAAAAATCATTATGTGTACCACAGAGGCAGCATAGTTAAATAAGATGCTGTTTCTCCAGCTCCAGATTATTATATGAATTACAAGTACAATAAGTCACTACTTCCCTTTTAAGCTATAACAACCATGACACCATAACTAGAACATTCCTGTGTTGAACACCTAATGATGTAAGTAAAATCTTGGCAAATGACCAGCACAGTTGTATATTTGAATCACCTTCATGTCTCTCCTGGGGACTACTGGACTTGAGTGAGATTAAGAGACATGAAGGTGATTGATGTTACTGTTTGAGAGGAAGAATGGTCAAGTGGTCAAACATTAGATTTTATGAAACATCAAATAATGGCTTTACTTTCCTCCTCATGAATGTAGTATCTAATATAACGGACACTGGCCACATGTCACTAGTAGAGTTTAGGTGATTAAAATAAAATAAAAAGGTAAATTAATTCTCTGATCACCATTTGTCACAGTTAAAAGTGTTTAATGCATTGGCTATCCCAGATACCATATTTCCGTCATCACAGAATGTTCTATCAGAAAATTATTCTAACTGGGCACCCATGGCTCACTCCTGTAATCCTAGCTACTTGGGAGGCTGAGATGAGGAGTATTGCAGTTCAAGGCAAATGGTTTGTGAGCCTCCAATTTCCAAAATAACCAGAGCTAAGTGGATTGGAAGTATGGCTCAAGTGGTGGTAGAGTGCCTGCTTTGTAAGCTCAGGGCTCTAAGTTTAAACCCCAGTTCCAGAGAGAGAGAGAGAGAGAGAGAGAGAGAGAGTGAGAGAGAGAGAGAGAAAATGAAAACTTTCAAAAACTGTGACTTAAAATTTTCAGCTGTGATTTTCTTAATTTATGGGAATCAATTTATGTATAGATACACTATAAACTAAAAAAATTATGAAGGTCCTACAGACATTTATCCTTTGATAATACCAAATGTAATATAGAATATTTGGACTTACCTCAAGATGATTATGATCTGGTTTGAGGAGTGACAATTAATCATTTATCAGTTTTTGAGGATAAGACATATAGCACCATTGTCTGGAAAAAACACATGATTAAACAATTACAGATGGTGTATTATTTCAATACTGTAGGAGTCCTTTGGAGAGACAGGTAATAAATGGAAAAAAACACAGAAGAAAAAATATCAGGTGAGCTACATGTAGAGATTCTCTTTTTGTTCCCTTTTTTTGGGGGGGGGGATTTAAGGTATTCTCCCTATAGGTGTGTTAAATTTTTCAGCTATTTGAGCATGTATTTCTGTAATTACTCAAAGGAGTTCTGAATCCAAAACTACCTCTTCCAAGATCTCTAGTTCAGGATGAAAGTTGATTTTATTCAAAATATTGGCTAATTTTATTGCTAAAGAAAAGATTAAAGGACTGGCTTTTTTTCCAAGATTTTCATGAGACCTGAGAAAAATGTACATGTTAAAAAAATCACAAAACAGGAAGTTTTCACAACTCAGTAAACATTTTTGTGTAAAGTATGTCAAAGTACATTTTAGATCGAAAGGTTTTGAGTACTAGTGTTGTTTTACTTTTAATTCAAGTGAAATTAAGAATTCTGGTCTAAGACTATTAATTACAAGTGGCATGTCAGCTCTTGAAAGACTCTTGACCCTTGCAATTTTGGTTGGTGTGCAACTAAGAGCAATATTGGAAAGCTCCAGTCATACAGTTTACTCATATATAGTCTTCAGTTCACATGGAATCGCTGAATCTAACACCTCTAAAACAGAAGCAAATATTCTATAAATCACTTAAATGCCTAGTTATTTGTTAGTTCAATACTGAATTATTCTTCATTGGAAATTCCCAAGTTATGAAGTGTCAATAGCCAGATTTTAACTGGTCCTAAAACAACTGCAATGTCTTTCATTATGATTTCAGTGAATTTTAAGTAAATGCTTAGATTCTGGAATATGATATGTACATGATTTTGTATAGGCTTGCAGGGGAAAATGCTATTTTCATTTATTTACTGGGTATTTTTCCTTATGAATTCTTAGACTGTGCTAAATGATTTTTCATATTGCTTGTGGTTATTCTTTAAAATGTGTCTCTTGGTAAATTGTCAAATCAATCCAGTGCAATATGGATATTGCATTCCTTTTTGCCACACAGATTGTTTACCTCATTCTCTTTAGCATGCTCTTAGGGAAGGCAAGTATTTCGTGGTTCTTAGATAGCAATTCTTCTGTGAAAAATCATTCATTCACCTCCCGCTGCCTAGTGATAGGTAGTGGGTGTTAAAATGAGGCAGTGTTTTTTAAAAATATATTTACATTCTTTTCTTTTCTTTTTCTCCTCTCTCCCTCCTTCCCTTTCTCCCTCCCTCTCTTCCTTCCTTCCTTCTTTCCTTCCTTCATGGTACTGAGGATTCAAATTCAGGACCTTGTGCTTCCTAGTCAAGCATTCTGCCACTTGAGCATGCCCTCAGTCCCTAGGTTCTTTTCTTAACCATCATTTTTGCCTTATTTTTTTAAAAAATTATCATAAAATAGTTTTACAGTCAACTTTTGGAGATTTTTCTCAGCAAATCTTTTTAAAAAAATATTTGGATTACATAATTTACATACTTTATTTTATTTTTTAGTTTGAAAATACTAATAAAATATGTCATTCAAAATTCTACCACATCATTATTGAATCTCTTCAAAGGTAATTTCTATTAATTTGATACAGATCCTTTCTGAATTACTGCTAAATTTACATTCTATAAACACATATCTATAGATCACAACATATTTGTATGGAAATTAGTTTTATGCATGAGTCATCTATTTCATATGCTTATGCATGCAGTAAAATAAAATAATGTTACAAATATGCAAATTAGTTTCTACTGAAGAGTATATTCTGAATATCTTTATAGTTCAGTACATATACTTTTGTCTTATTAATTACTTAGACCCACACTGCACATGTATAATCTATATTATTCCACCATCCCTGTCTTGATATTTTATCTTTGTTTTCCTACTTAACCAGTAGATTAAGATGATTTTGCATATTGAGCTAAGCAATGGTACTTTACCTATAGAACATATCCGATATGCTGTATCTGTAGATACTTATTAGAAGTAAATTTCTAGATTTAAATACATATGTATTTTAATCTTAAGATTAAAATACTAATTGACATTCATGAACATTTTATAAGGGTGACATTATGCTATCCTATTTATGATTGTTTTTGCAACTCATTTGAGGAAGCATTTCTTTGAAAATCATTTCTGATACCTAGGCCAAACCAATTAAAGAGATACTTGTATAGGCAACTGCATATACCGTTTATATTCAAGTATATATGTGCATATTCATGCAAAAATTTTAACTATGTTTGCCCTAAATAAAATGCAGTCTGCAGCAAAGAGAGGAATCTTTGAGATTAGACAAATGAAATCTTTGAGCGATATAGTAACAATGTTTTTGTTATGTAGCCACAAAAGCCGTGGATGTGAAGAACTCTAGTTGGAATTGATGTTAATAGGACTTCATTGGTCCACTTAGGCCACTATTTCATTTTTAAATAACTCTTCTTGTAAATGAGCTCAACAATCTACAACATTTTGGTTATTGTATTTGCTGGTTCACAGTGAATGGAGGAGCCAACCTGTCTGTGAATATAAATAACAAAGATTCTCCCTTGGTCTTTTTGCTTTTTGAGGCAAAGCTCTATGTAGCTCAGATCATCTAAATACTTGTCTCAGTTTTTGCATGACATAGAATCACATTCGATAGCTTGATGCAATGCCTTGGGAAGTTTGTAATATCCTATTAAAGAACAAAAACACTTTGACCTTTGGTAAGGTGCCAAACACTATTTTTGTGGTAGTGTGGTTTGAGCTCAGGATCTCACACATACTAGGCAGGAGCTGTAGCACTTGAGCCACTAAGAAATATCGTTAGAATCCTTAGATGAAAGAACAAGAGAAAAATCAAAATAAAGGAAAGAATAAATGAAATCTGGGCCAGAAAAAGGACTTATATGTATTTACTACTAAGTGTTAGATAGGCAAAAATATGTGCCTGCAGGCACAGTTGTTTATAATCTTTTAATGCCAGGTAAGTTTCATTAACATTACATTTCCTTTTCTGTAATTCTTCACAAACGTATTTGTTGACATGAGGTCATTCCTAAGCATTTTGTTGTAAAACATACCTGTGTTTTATTCTGTTACAGTGAGACTTCTTTATTTTTCAGACTCTGCCATTGAAGAAGATTCCATGCAAAGCCAGTGCACCATCAGGCTCCTTTTTTGCTCGAGATAATACAGCAAATTTCTTATCCTGGTGCCGAGACTTAGGGGTGGATGAAACATGTCTATTTGAATCTGAAGGTTTGGGTATGTATTTCCTTTAGAAATTTAACTGGTGTAATATTATAACTGATTTTGTCTTACTATAGTCATCCAAATTTTTTGTATGGTGTCATTTCACAGACTTTTTTTTCCCTTTTGGTGGCACTGGCGTTCAATTCAGGGCTTTGCATTTGGTTGGTAGGTGCTGTTCTACTTGAGCCATGCCTCCTTGTCCACAGATTATTTTTTAAAAGTATGAGTCTGTTGTAAACTTGCATTCTGGCTGTAATCTTTACCCACTGAAGGTAGAATAATACATATGCTCTCTTACTGTTGGACACCTTGAATAAGACAGAAGTAGCACAATCCTTTCCAAGCCAAAAATGAGAGCTATTAATGCAAAGTTGGGAATTTTTGGAAAATGTAAGATTAAATTTTATTACCAGGCTGTAATCAGAATTAGAAGTGTAGCTATATATGTTACAGCAATGGGGGCACTGTTGTCTTTTCACCTCTATGAAATATGAAAACTCTGTATCTCCACTAACTCCATCTTTTTTGAAACTGAAGTTTGCTAATTTATACATTTATCTATTTTTCAGAAAGAGTTAAAAAGCAGGCATACAAAGAGGATATTGAGACAGGAGATAATTGAATAAGAGGCAGATTATTTTAGTGGTAAAATCTACCCAGCCTGTTGTTTTGTTTTGTTTTCTGATTAAATTTTGTCAAATCCATTTCTAGACCATAGAGAGAGCTTTTGTTTCCTTTGAAGAAAACATATTTTGGACTACTCCCTGTTTCAACACTACTTGGTCCCCTAGGCTTAAATGTTCAAATTTCCCGTACAGGCTCTGAAGTATAACTCTAATATGGAAAATATTAGAATGAAAGTCCCATTTAAATGAAAGGCAACCAACTTAAGAAAGGAGACATCTAATGGGGATAAGAGATTTGGTTATTTTGCCTGGGCTTTAAAAATCAAAATTTGAGATCATATAATACCAAATATTAACATTAAAGTAAGGTGAGCATCCTTCAGAGAGAACAAGTATACACATTACATTACTTTCCAGATAGCTAAAATATCCTTTGCCCCTTTAGGCTTTACAAACAGTAATGCCATGTTGAACTTAGGAAATCAATGATAACTGCTTAAATTTAAGGTAATTTTTGCATGTGTTTTAAGAAGAGGTAATGTGATGTGGAAGAGACTGCAATTAAATTGAACCCTCTCAGAGAAGATAATAACATGAATTGAGATTGGGAGAACATTGTAGACCTGAAAAAAATGAACCAGAATATTTGCCTAATGTCTTGCCATGTAAAATAGTGTGCTCCTTGAATACTTATTAAATATATAGACCTTATTCTTATCATTTCCTTACATCTTATTTTTTCCTTTAAGAAACTTGCTAGATAATATGCATGTTTGTAGTTACCTCTTTTTCAGTCCAGTGGGAATTTTGCAAATAGATTTTAACTTTCATGCTTGTAGGAAAACACAGGAAGGGAATGCAGAGGAATTACTTGAAAAGAAATTCATGGGAGACCTAATACACACACACACACACACACACAAATAAATCTTAATCACAAAGAATATACTCTGGATGTGTCACTCTGGATATATGGGCAATTAAAATCATGATTTTAAATTCTTGAATGCCCCTGCATTATCAAAGAACTACCACTTGGGGAGGAAACTGCTTTATTATATGTTAATTTATGAGTTTGGTCATTGTAAAACTTTGCATTCAAGAAGAATTATTTTTCATTCACTATTATAAACTAAGTAGGTAACACTTGTGTCATATTGTCTCAATTTTCTCACAGTCCTTGAGTTTTTTTTTTATTTGAACTAATACAGCTTTCAGAAACAATGGAAGAACAATCAGTCTAATACTATATTTTCTCCAACTGAAAATATCACTATAGCTCAAGATTCTGGTGTGTATTTATACAGTGTTGACCTTAGGGCTTTTAGAAACTCAAATCAAGTAATAAGTAATACATTTTATCTCGATACTATAAACTTAAAATAACTTGTATGATGATATAAGTGCATACTTTGTAGAATATACAATTCTGTCAACAGAAATTCAAGATGTCTTACTTCTTCACTTGTTTCAACTTGTTTGAAAAACAAGTTGACATTCTAACAAGAAAGTTCTCAACAAGTTTTGCATACTATTGGATATTTTGCTTATTAGCTGAAATTACTTAACTTATAACTTACAATTAAATTGTATTTAAATATCCAAGCTGGTGTAATAAGGCCAAAATTTCAAGGCTTATAAAATTTAAAAATCACCTTTAATCTTCTCATTATCAAACTAAATTAAATAGGCTTTCTAGTTTGCTGCTCAATTAAAAGGTAAATTTGAACTTTCAGCAGCTCAGAATAGGATATGAGGTAATGTATAATAGTTCCTGGGGATACAAAAGAAGGGTTCAATATTACAGCATTGACTTTAGGATTAGTGGGAGAAAGGAAACAGCTGTGCCCATGGTTGTTAATGATAACCAAGAGGAAAGACAATGAGAAATTCCATTTCCCCAAGTGAAACCCTTTCTCCTTGGATTTTCCTTATTATTCACTGAGGATGAGGAAGTGATTGAGCCCCTGCTGATGGCCTTGGACTGTTTAGTTGCAGAATTGACTTTCCTGCGACAATAACACTGTGTACTCTGCTTGATGTCTTTTTACACTTCACTTTAGAAAGGGAATTTAGGGCAAGGTGTTTTTTTCCTTCTTTTTTCATATCTCAAGATTTCATTTCAGTGGTACATAATATGAAGAGCATCCTTTGTGTGCTAGTGTTTTGAACAGCAAATAAAATGCAAAGATGCCCTGATGAAGGGGAAAATGTTTTTAAATTAATGATAAAGTGGATCACTGTACTGAGTGTGTATGAAGACGCTTCTGTGTTTTTGCTGTTCAAAAGTCTTTGCCTGCATAAAGCATTCTTATCTTTGTGGCAACTGATATGCTATCCTCTGTAGCAATGCCTTTTTGTACAGTTATTTGTCAGAGGATCTTGATCACAACTCACTCAACCTGTTCTCTTTCTACCACAGTGAATGGCAAAAAACTGTGGGTGAGGGAAAGTGGGCTAGGAATGAACTTGGGAGTGTGGATAGTTGCTCCATATGCTTCTCCCATGTTCTTGTGTTTTTGATCCTTGATAGATAGATAGAATGTATCCTGTGTTAGATTCACAAACATGGTATAATCTGCAATTTATTTTCTATGACATTTCTATGATCATCATTTTTTCCTCTGAGTTTTTTCTAAAAATGGACAAGTTTTTAGATCATAAGTTGACTATAATCCAAATAGAACTTCAAAATGAACCAATAGAAAAATGGACAATGTCATGGAGACTTATATAAAAATTCAACTAAGATATAAAAATGTTTGATGCCTTGATAATAAGGTAAATGCAAATGAAAGTTATAAAATATGAGCAAAATTAAGAACATTCTGTAATTTGTTTGCAAATATATTAGAAAATAACATCTTCTATATATTGCTGAAGAAAATTGGTAATTGTCTACACAGGGCTATCTGACATTACATATCAAAGGCCTAAGAAATGTTCAGTATTTATGATACTTGATGTTAGCATCAAGCATCATAGCAAACTATGTCCATCTGGAGATACCAACCAAAAATCATATTCTTGAAACCACTTAAAGATATGGGGAAAATTTAACATACAATGAATGTGAAATCACACATATACACCTAGTATGAAACAGTAAAATTCATATTCACAATTTGAATGAACAATAATTGAATTGTGCAAAGTGACATTTGAAACATGAAAAATTAATTTTATTTATATTAAGATCAATAGAAGCCAGGAATGGTGGTACAAGCCTATAATCCTAGCTCTTGGGAGGATGAGAAACAGTAAAATTCTATTCACAATTTGAATGAACAATAATTGAATTGTGCAAAGTGACATTTGAAACATGAAAAATTAATTTTATTTATATTAAGATTGCAATAGAAGCCAGGAATGGTGGTACAAGCCTATAATCCTAGCTCTTGGGAGGATGAGGCAGTAAGATCCTGAGTTCAAGGCAATCCTGGGCTCTATAGGGAGACCCAATGTAAAAAAAAAAAGAAAGAAGGAAGGAAATAAAGAAAGGAAGACAGAAAGAAAGGAAAGGGAAGAAAGAAAAGGAAGGAAGGAAGGGGAAGAAAGAAAGAGAGGAAAGGCAAGAAGGAAGGGAAGAAAGAAGGAAAAGAGAATCTGGCTGACTTGCATAGAAAATTGTTACTAGCATGATTTATACATCAGCATATTATGTAGGCTTTTTCTCATTATTGACATTAAACAGACACTTCAATTGATTCTGGAATTGTACACTGTTTTAGTAAGGGTCATCATACATTTTTGCATGCTCTATAGAACATATTTTGATCTTAATAGTACACATGTAATGCTCACCCTGACCCCTACTGTTCAAACCATGTTGATATACAAGCAAGTATAGAGGAGATTTCTTTTTCATGTCTCTGATTCATTAAGATTAATATTTTGTTTTATTTAACACCTTTAAAATATTTAGAATTTCACCTTAGTCATTAATATTTTTTGAATTTAAAGTATATAGTTATCAGCATAAAGAGAAAATAGTATACTGTCATATCTAAAAATTTTTAAAATTCTAATTGTGGGGCAAAAAAAGAAAATGTTTAGAAGGCTCCAGGGATGAAAACATTTCATTTTTAGTTTCAAAAAGATGTAAAAATTATTAGATGGTATTAATCAATAACCTTTCTAACAATAAATTTAATTATTTTCAAATATCAAATTAGATATTTCAATAATCATAAAATAATGCTTAATATTTTATGTGGCTCATTTTTGCTCTTTAAATTAAGATGTGAAATTCATGAATTATTCTCAGCTTAAAAACACTTCTAAATTATGTCATAAATCAGTGCTTGTGTTTTTTTGGAGATGTTTTAGGTATAAACTATGTTCTAATTTGTAATACTCTTGTTTATAAGGTTTATATGTAAGTTA